CTCGAATGTTGAGCATCATGCGCGAGATGAGCACGTTTGACAATCTGGGTTTCAAGTAGGAGAAGATCAGGAGAGAAGATGGGCACCACAAACGCAGAGACGCACACATTGGTCAGAGTCGTAAAGATGCCCCTATATGCGGTCTACGCCGTCCAATCAGCGTCCAGCGCGAGGTTGTGACGATCACAAAGGCGTGCCTACCGGTGCATCCTAGCCAGTTGGCATCCGTCGTAAGGCTTAACGGAGCGATGATCTCAGGAGACGGTATATGCAACGCACCAGATATGTGATTATAGTGAACAGGTAACAGATGGCGAGAACCCTGGAGCGGCAGCACCTCATGAAAAATTATCGTCACGACCGTCACTGACCGTAAGGACTTACCCAAAGTAGACCGCCCCTACCGAGGCAAAGCTCAATCAGCGAGGTGGAAGCACGAATGACTGGACGCACTTTCATGGTGTGCTGAGCATAATGAGCGGCGAGGGCGGGGTGAGCGTCGTGAAGAAGGAGAGGTCAACGTGAAGACAACGAAGCGGGGCTCGGGGACGGACGGGCAATGCTGCCGGCACGGATGTTGTGGCCAAGTGCAGCCGATCACGAACGACAAAGACTGAGAGCGCTGGGTAAGTAACCGAGATATGGATGCACCAGATGGAAAGACTGACATAGACATGGATGTAGTATCTAAGGGTCTCTTTGGGTGCTAAAGGTCTTTCTAGCATCTAAAGGTCCTCTTTGGGTTCTGAAGACCACTGGGCAGAGTTAGGCGAGGAAGTCAGTTTTCAGCGGGCTGATCGTGTGCATTCAAGTGTGTACAGTACTGTAGAATACACCGCAACATGCTTTGTTACAACTACAGGGGAATTCGAGAGTGCGAAGTGAAGGGGAACAGACGGCGGCCGCGAACGCAAGTCACCGTACAGCTCGGGCGCCTATCTGACGCGCGACTCTCTCTGTCCGCCACCACCATCTGCCCCGCGCACCGCCATATTATTTGTGGTCATCTCAGGAAGCACCGAGATCAGGTACGTCTTTGTGATCTGTACAACTTGATCACCGTCTCCGACTTGAACGCAGCTGTACCAAGGTGCGTCTGTGCCCCGCCGGGACCCCACGTACCAATGCCTACTTGCTGCTCATTTGTACTAATTTCCCTGCCACGTACAGACGTCAGCACATGCCAAGTGGACTCCGCATACATAGCTCACCAAGCCATCCGGTGTCCACGAGCCCTGCCGCCATAGACAAGGGGGAATCAACGGTGGAGCAATGTGATGACCATGAGGGAGCGCAGGACCTCACCAGGTTGGACGAGGAGCCACGAGCTGCTGCATGGCAAAATCCCTGGCCGTGCAAAGGTGAGTGTACAACGAAGCGGCATTGCGATTGGATGGGCCAGATCACGACAGACACGGTGTCGTGCAGAGATCCTAGCGAACATAGCCGGCGAGCCATCAGGGATGCAAATGCAAGGTGTCTGGCAGAACATCTTGTCAGCTGTCGAAGATACAGCAGTGGACTGATGGTCGTCGAGGAGAAGATGTCACGGTGCAGATGTGCATAGAGAACTACACCTAAAATCATGAGCCCCATCCCTCCCCATCAGCATAAGGTACATGATCGCGCTGCATCCAACTCACCAGCATGTCTGGTGTCACACCATCAGAAATGAACTCAACCGAGGTGAGTTCCATGCCGTCCGGCCGTCTCCCTGAGCTTGTGTCCGCTTGGTGTGACGCTTCTCTCGAGCAGCAGCAAGTGTCACCAGCCGGTGATCTGGTGCTGTGTACCATATCAGTGGTCTGGCCAAAACTTCAACCTGAGCCATTGGGTGCGTACCATCCCTGTCGATGCACTGCGCCTGCACCAAAAAATTCTCTGACATCAGCCGCTCGTAAGAACATGACGCTGCTCAGTTCCCAAGCGCGAACACGTTGCCAGCGGTCATCTCTTCCGCAAATACCTCTCAACTGCTGTCAAGCAAGGCGCTCGCAAATGTGAACAACAACTGTGCAGATAGGATCAGGACTTACATAGACCAGAACTTGGCATGTCGAGTTCCTAGCTAGCTGCATGCCTGTATACACTGAGTTGCGCTGTCGGTGATGAATAGACAAACTGGATATTCACGGTCAGCGCTCTGCCTGCCAAACCAAGACATCTTATACGTACCACTCACTGTTTGTGTCCGTGCTCCCTCCCATCCATCAGCACTCTGCGCGAAATCTGACTGCATCAAAAACAAGGTGAGAAACTCTAGCATCACCAGATGTGCTGTCTAAGACCCAAGTGGTGCAGAAAAGGTGGCTACAAGATTGTGATGGTCACCAGTCATGTAGTCAGAATAGTAAGTGAGCAACGTGAGCAATGGACATGGAGACAAGGTCGGAGCTGGCACAAGCAGAGGGACTCGTGAGCGATAGACGTGTGAACGGATACAATAAACAATGCGAGTGAGCGGGTAACCAGGTAATGACAATCGTGGCAGCAAGGCGCACATCAGTTCTCCGGTACATCAACCCTGACATCTTCTTAGCAAATTGGTGCTCTCAGTGGGAAAATGCGATGCTCGCAGTCTCACGGATCTTGCAACTCTCATGCTGCCCACGGATCCCTGATGGAGTGGACATGATGACAAGATGCAGATTATCTGCTCCTTGGCTTCGTGTCCCCTCCAGCAGGGATCCAATGTAGGTGAGCAGTGTACTCATTGACTTCCTCTTAGAAGGGAACAAAAGCGAAACACGGAGCCGGCAGCACACCATGTGAATGCAGGGCTAGAGTGATGATCAAGGATATTTTTGGCGATGACATCGCGTGAGGCCGAAAGTTCTCTGTGAGCACTTTGGCGGAACTCGGGCGTGATGGCAGGTTGCCAGATTTAGCATCCCAGACCTCTGTATCCCCATATGTTGCATTCCCACTAGATTCTCTAGCAAAACATTTCCTCGCTGTTGATACACAATTATAAGTAGCTACATTTGCGCCTTCCCCTAGATGCTGGGAAGTCATTGCACGACATTGTCAATGGGTGCACATCAAAACACAAGGCTGGCCACCATTGAGATACATCGCCAACGGCGATGATCGAGTTGCCCGCACGGGCCAAGACGGCACGCTAGGGTAGCCGCAGCAGAGGACGCGGCCGCCGGTGAATTTGCGCTGCAGCGTTCTTGGACGTGTTCCATTGGAACAGTCGTCGCTAAGCACCGGAACTTGCAGCTGGTAGCCAACGTAATTTTGCGCCAACTCCTGTACGTTTGGAAGATAGGGTCGTGAACTGGGGAGAGTGCGATTCCACGGACAGGGTTCCCAGGTGACTAGGACGGCAGATGTAATGCCACAGATGGTGTTTCAGTACAATGGCCGGCAGAAGGAGATGCAGAGGAAGCGAGTTAGGATAGGTGGGCAGGTGAGCAAAGAGCGAGCAGGAGTTGCATTGATTACAGATTGTGGCCGTCAGGCTGCGGCAAGCAACGTGAAGAAGGTGATCACTCCGCAAGAAAGGGAAATAGTGGAAAGGAAAGACTGGGGAGAGTGCAACAAAGATGTGGGCAGCGCCGCAGTGAGCAGACATTGGAAGGCGGCGAAAGAAGCCCAAGTGGCCTCCAATGTAGGATTGTCGCGGCTGTCTCAGACAGTGATGCAAATAGCTGCCATTGACTTTGTGCTTGCGCACGTTGTTCAGGACGATGGGTACTACAGTGCGAAGCTGAATTTCAAGTTGCCCTCATTGGTACAAAGTGTGCAAGGTCCGCATCACTAGCGCTCTGGCGGGTTTACATCTCCGCGCTTATACCCGACATCGCCTGGCTATCGTCCCGCCACAAGCATGCGTTACCCACCACCTCCAGCTTCAATTGTTACGGCGACGCAGGTGTCCAACCACCACCAAACCACGACAAGCTGGAGAAGGATACTCAGAAGGAGGTGACGCACATGCTCGTTGCTGGATGCAACAAGGTGCGTAGTCGTGATATCCTCTCTCTTTCAGCGAGCCGCACTCGTGCTGTCAAGCAGTAGTGGAACGTCGGAAATCGGCATCCCTTATCTTCGGCGGACGGTTGCCAGTCGATGTGAAAGACCGGTATGTGTGCCCGTCTGTATATGTCCACTTGTGATCGCCTTGACTGATGACTGTGGTTGTAATCCTGTCACTGCTACCACTACCGCTAATACTGCTTCCTCGCCTCGCCTCGCGCAGCTTCCACATGTACTACCCCAATGCCGAAAGGCAACACTACCTGGACACCTCTATTTGGACACCTAGACGCGTCTCTCTGTTGATCTCCGCGACCGCTTCCGCAACGCATTCCTTGACGTCTACCAACCCGCGGGCTGCAAGCCGTGCGATACGATGAAGAAGACTCATCAGGGTAGGGGGAAGGATCATGGGCCTGCACAGCCGCTGCGCACCGCAACGGATGACGCGCTCGCGTCAAGCAACTCGGTGGGGTCCGTGCGGTGGAAGAGGCGGCATACAGTCCAATGCTTGTTCAGGGGTGGCGCAGAGAACGTGCCGGAGAGCGTGAGTGTGTTGAAGCACGAGAACAGCTCAGATGACAAGGACAGGCCGGCGCCGTTCCCCTAGGACGGCCCTAGGGGCACCCCACACATGACCGGCGACGAGATGGTCATGAACCCTGACGGGGAGACGAAGGAGGCAGAGATGCAGAGGATAGACTCGCTCAATGGCACAATCACGATCCCCAACTCCGCTCCCAGCTCGTCGCTCTCAGGGCTGATCGACTCGTTGCATACTAGGACGTCTCTCCAGCACGTGGTCTACGGCCACGAACGCTGCTTCGCCGACTTCATTGCACCTCTCCGCTACTGACTACATCCAAAATTCTCCGCTCCAGCGACAAAACGAGTCTGGGTCCACTATCGGCAAGTCCGTGTGGGAACCCCAGGACTGGCTGTCGGCAAATGCGCACCCCAAGCCTTCGTCGAGCAGCTCATCATCCTGCGTGGGTAACTTCTCTCTAGTCCCGTCTTCACTTCTCACACCTCAACCATGGCGTTCTGGACCACTACAACCTCTTTCCCTGCCAGGATTTTGGCAGACGCACGCGCACATGCGGAACCGCATTGCGCGCATGCGGCAGACGACCGTGCACCCTGACTCGCTCGCATCGTAGCGCGGCCGCTTGGCCCCTACGTCAGAGCACCGAGCGTATGACTACGACCTGTGCGTTATCCCACAGAGCCAGCAGATCAGGCGGAAGTCGTTCACATCGCCCACGCTGTCGCTGTCGCTGATGGACTGCGTGCCGTTGCAAGCTGTCAAGCGCTGCTTCGGCCGGGTTGTGGAAGGCCGTGGGTTGGGGGAGTCGGCGAGGCTGAGGCTGGAGGAGCTGTTGTATGATGGGGTCTTCATGCCTATGAGATCCAAAGCGGTGCCTGGAGTTCTATCCGCACGTTATCTGCGGAGTGAGGCTTCCGGAAGGCTCACCTCGGCCGGTATGGCATCCATGTACTTCCCGTTCCTGGCGCAACAATGATCCATTGCGCGCGATCGCGAGTACGGGGCGGCCGATATGTATAGCACAGTCTACCGATTCCCGGTCGTGGACCCACAAAGTACGCGAATACTCGCTAATACACAAACACAGCCGGCCCTTGATATCTCGTCGTGAAGGCAGGTCGGCTGCTACAAATCCCATCAGAAATATGTTCACCGCTTTACATACCACAGTGGCAGTGTTTGCGTTCGTCTGTGGAGACACGTCAGCTCTGTGGGAAGGCCGACGAGGCACTGTCCGTGCTTCGCGAACACGGCTGCCGAGGGCGTCATCAGAACGCTTACTTCGATGTGCTGTCTTGCCCTCTGGTGTTCTCACTCGCTACGAAGGTTTCACAGACTCGTACAGCTATGTAGTAGTCTGTGATATGTGTTAAGAGAGATACTGCAGCGAAATGCAGATGTTGTAAACATGCCTTGTTCGAGGTCCCGCCCGCCGCCAGCAACCCCATTGAGGCAGCGACTTTCGGATGTGCTTTTAGCTCGGGAAAACACCGTTTCCCAGGCCGTCGCACGCGTACACGAGGCGGGGGACGATGTTGTCATCCGGGAGCCATGAAACCGGTCAAACCAACCGGATTTCAAACCGCTTCACATTTGCCTAGAGCGTGCGATTCTCGTCTCGTAACTGTGAACGCATCATGAATTCACGATTTTGGTCAGCTCTCCTGCATTTTTTCTTGCACTGAACACTCCCTAACGTGTCAGATACTGCGGGTATAGACGCGAAATGGTGATCTTACGCACACCTAGCTTGCAGAAACAATATGCAAATCGTTCCGAGGCCGCCAGACCAGCTGCGCGGCCGGTACGCCCATCTCGTCCTCGGGGTTACCAGCGCAGCGCCCATGGACCTGACCGAGATGGAGGATTTGCAAGCTACTCCCTGCGCTTGGAAAAAAGAGCCCAGATGAGTAGACAATATGTAAGATGCAGCCTCTGTGTGATTTCCGCGGCTTTCGAACGCAGGAACGGCGCAGGACAGCGTGCGCACTTTCGGACGCAATGAAATCGCCCGAAAGTGCACAATTCCGAAAGTCGTCCGCGGACGATGGAATCGCGTGCGTTCGGTGTGGAATATGCAGTATATTGCATCTCTGGCAGTTTCCCGGCCGTCGCAGGAGCGCATGAAGTGGGGGACGATGTTCTCGTCCGGGGGCCATGAAATCGGCCCAAACGACCCAATTTCAGACAGCTTTGTATCGTCGGAAAACTCGTGCTCGCTGTCACAGAATGACGCATAGGTGATCTCACTCCCATTTGCCTGTCAACTGGAGACGAATGGTGAGGATGGATCGCGTTTTTTTTTGTTAGATTTGGTACATTTCCGCAACAGATCGCCTCCTCACGACACAGACACGGCGTTGCACCAATGCCCACTGGCCGTCCTGAGCACCCCTAGCACCACAGAACGATTCACGATTTGTTTCGAGGCTGTCGGACGAGCGACGCGGCCGGTACACCCATCCTGTCCTCGAGGTACCCCGTGAGCCTGCGCAGATTCCTGACGTTCAGAATGCCCTTCCGTGCGGTAAAGATGAGACAGATGGGTCTTCCATGCACACAGATCACTGTCCGAACACGTTTTGCAGCCTATGCATGCAGGGATGAGGTGGGAGAGGGTATGCGATTTTGGACGCGACGAAAACGGCCCCCAATTGCGCATTTCGAGAACACCTCGGGCGAGCGGGAAAACGGGCGCATGCGGTGCGGAACGAGCAACGCAGTGCATTCGAGACAGTTTCAATGACAGGGAGGCAGAATTGTGACTTTGGGCCGGAATTGCACCAAAGACCCGCCTGCTGTCGAGTCGCGACGCACGCGGTCTGTGCGCAATCATCGGGCAGCATCAGGAAGCGGCGGCGATGGACGCCCACATTCACGCAAGCGTTCGGTACGCCGTATAACGTGGATGTTCATTCCGGCTAAACCGCTACATGTTCTCGACTACGTTCTATGGCCGGCGGAGACGCGAGCGACATGAGCTGCGATGAAGACTCACCTGGACGACGGCGTCCCGTCCGCTCTGTGCACCGCCGGCGGGGTTTGCTGGCCACGTCCGGGTCGCGGTCGCGGACAGGCGGACATCGTGGTGCGTGCCATCTGCGACCAGACGGAAGGAGACGGCGCAGACGGCTTCCGAGCGGTCGGTCGTCTCGAGCGACGATGGTCGAGCTGTCCGCACGGCCATGGCCATGCGCAGTGTGCGCTGCAGCACATCCGTCGATCGTGTGTTTGCAGGACATGGCCGCGGATGGGTGCTATGCACCGGCGGGGATGCGCTGCGTATTCCGGGCGTGTTGCGGTCGCCCGCGCCGTGCTCGTCGGGTCTCTTGCGTCGCAAAGCGGTCACCGCGTGCGCTGTTTGGGCTCGTTCGAGCCGACTTGCGTACGTCCGAAGTCCAGGGTCGGAAGACGGTGGGCAGGAACTCAAGCGGAGTTCGCGCTTAGGATGCGCGGGCGACTGGGCGGTCGCAGTCGAGTGCTCACCCGTCCGGGTGACCGGCGCGCGCGTGCGCGTTTGGAGGACAGGGTCGTGCCGGACGATGGGGAGCACGCGCTTCGCGTGCGTGCATTCGGAAGCGGAGGGGTGAGAAGAGAAGGGATGGGTTGCGGGGGTACGTACGCGCATGCGACAGATCAGCCGAGCGGGACAGGTGTATAAAAGGGGGCGTGCTCGGAGGGGATGCTCACTGACCTGTTCCTGTCCACTTCTGCTCTGGCGTGTGCGATGGTTCTCTCGACAGCCTCTGTGCTGTGGTGGTGGTGCTGCTGACGACTTTTGAGGGTGTGATGATGCGTGTGAGTGCCGCCATAGTGGTGTGGAGAATTGGCACTGACCGTAGTGCACGTTGCAGCTTCGGCCGACGAGGCCGCTGGGACTGGTGTTGACCGTGCGGACAACTCGATGACGGCGGGGTAGACGGCGACGGGGGTGCTAGCGACAGTACACTGACCGTGTGCGGGTTGGTATTGGTGGAGGGTTAGGGGCGGCCATTCGCGCTGGATATGCGATTCAGGTGAGCGGGAAAGGGATAAGTCTCGGTGAATGTGTTACGCAACGGCTATAAATTATGTTTTGGTCATACTCACCCATACCGGGCGTGAGCGGGCTTGGACGTGGGTCAAAGGGTGAGGGCGTGTAGCTGGATCAATGGTGGCCGTCGTCGAGTCTAGCACGGTCAGGATGTGGGTGCGATCGAATGCGGTCGCGTACGGTCCTGACCGTGCGGACAACTTGATTGTCAGCTCGCGCTCGCGTTGCACGCCTTGCGAGTACGTTCTACGGCAGGGTGGGCTTGTGGGAGCGCAGGGGACGCGACCGCTCGGGTGTCATCGGTGGAGGAGGATCGGGGTAGCAGGCGCGGGCATCGCGCCGCATCGTCGAGGCGATTGTGGCCAGCTGGGAGTGCGCAGGGGATGAGGATTGTAGTCGTGTACAAGGATTGTAGTCGTGTACAAGTACAACTTGAGCTCGGATTGCGGTGACGAGGACTGGACGTTGGCGTGTGGCGTGCGTCTGCGGTGTGAGCGAGGTCTGCGACGTGAGCGAGGTCCTCATCGGCATCGACGGCAGGCAGCGCAAGCAGCGGGGAGAGCCAGCCGGCACCAGCCAATGAGCGCTCGTGGCAAGTGGCATCCGCTGGAGCATGCGCGTCGTCGTCGGTGTGTCCGCCTCCGATGGTGAACGCCGCCTGCGATGGTGAACGTGCAAGCCAAGCCACGCTCCCCACCAGCCGCGGCAGCCTCCCTGGCGTCCTCGGAGACAGGTGCTCGAAGCAAGTCCGCTGCTCGCTCTCCTCTGCTCGTCGTCCTGCGTCCTCGCGGTGTGCCCGCACAACAATCTCCATGGTCCATTTCTACCCAGTGTTCTGACGCGACGACTCAGACCGCGCTCGACCATCCACTATGCCTCACGTTCTTTCGCTCGACGGCGCTCGCCTCGCGGTACGACCGCCCCAGGCTTCTGCTGCGGACTCTTCGGTGCGACCGACGACTGTTCTTGGCAGCCTCACGAATGCCGCGTCCATCGCGACGAGCTCAGAACTACCCTCTGGCAATGGCGAAGTCAGTTTCACGTGGACTCCTACGCAACTCGTGGAGAGCCCTCCTGCGCTCAGCCCGTCCGGCTCGAGCACTTTCGACACGCCCTTTTTCCCGACCCCTACACAGACCCAAGCCTCCGGGGACGACCGGTCTCTAGGGCGCACAAAGGTATGAGCGCAATTCAGTCCAGCTGGAGCACGACGGAGGCTGACACTCCATGCCTCCGGCACATTCTTCCTGTCAGATCGCTGTCGAGGGAGCGCTCGTAGTAGTCGCCGCAGCACTCATCATCCTCCTCTCTCTCTGGAGGTACGTCCCACCCGTCCATGCACGATGGGCAAGACGCTTGTTTCTCGCATAGGGAGACTGGGTGAAAAGACGTCTGAGAGGCTGATGTTCCGCGAATGTTCCCTGGGTGTTCGGGGGAGAGGGAACAAAATGTTTCCTGGGATCAAGACAGAGGGTCTGTGTATCAAGGAATGGGTAACGCTACGGATACAGGTTGAATTTGGAAACATTCGTGCTCTGCCATGTTCCCCGCCTGTTTCTATGAAGTTTTGCACATCTGATCACATGGGGCCTCTTGATTGTCTTCGGAAAACAGCCAGGAAACGTCTCGTTCTCCGTTCTTTCGAACACCCCGGGAACACTCGCGGGACATCAGCCCGTCAGACCTGTATAAACACTGTTTCCTATTCCGACAAGATGCGCTTTGCCCGTCGTGATGCAACCTCTCCTCTCGGCTGACAAACTTACCACCTCTCCCCCATCTAGAGCCGTCCGGATCCGCCGCAGCGGCCGCCCCATGCGGGACTTCTTCGTCGCCCATCCGCAGCCCGATGTCCCCCCACGGCCTCGCGCCGTCCCGCGCACGACCGGCCTCCCGCCTGCCC